AGAAGACAGAGCAAGTACAAAAGCCCTTCACTACACTCCTCCATCGGTCATCTTTGTTTCTAGACTTTCTCACAGGTAAGGATGTGGCTCCCTGTAAGAATGTGTGAGTCTCTGAGAAGTCACTCAGACAGCAGGCACAGACATTGTCATGTAAGCTACAATCCTTCTCATATTTACTAAGGAGTAAAGAGTCCGCAGGGGCTGCGGTAGCTCAAGTGGTTAAGACGCTGAACTGCAGACCGGAAGGTCGGTAGTTCAGCAGTTCGAGACCCGAGTGCCACGAGTGAGCTCCCATCTCTGGCCGTTCGAAAGCAAGAAACTGCAAGTAGATAAATAGGTACCGTTACAGTAGGAATGTAACAACATTCCATGCGCCTCGGCATTAAGTCATGCCAGCCACATGACCACGGAAATGTCTTCGGACAGCGCTGGCTCTTTGGCTTGGAAACGGAGATGAGCACCGCATTCCTAGAGTCGGATTCAACTGGCTTTTGAGCAAGGGAAACCTTTACCTTCACCTCAAGAGGCAGCAGCCCTTAATTCCGGTGACCCACCTTGTTTCAGGGTGCAGTGAGCCCCTCTGGTTCCCCAGCGATGAAGTGTAACCGATGGCACCAAAGCTACCTACTTCGGGCAGCCAAGCATGAGAGCCAGCATGATACAAGGTGCTCTGAGAGACAGACCATAATATTGTTGTCTTTCACGGCTGGAGTTCATTAGCTGTTGTAGATTTTCCAGGCTGTGTGGCCGTGGTCTTGGCATTGTAGGACCTGAAGTTTCGCCAGTAGGTGTGACTGGCATCCTCAGAGGTATAACACAGAAAGGTGGAGTACTCTCAGTCACAGCTACTGTTGTTACAAGTCTCACCTCTTCCCTCCTCCAGAACACACAGGAATCCTGTTAGGTAGGCTCTTACGATGACCCCATGTTCTAGGTGGAGGCCTGAGTTGGGGGAGCAGTGAGAGCCTTGAACCGGGGCTCTCTAAATTACTCACTAAACCTGCTCGGCCAAGGACAGACACCCACCCTGCAACCTCAATTCCTGACACAGGGCGCATTTCTCAGATGTTAGTTATTACTCAATAGATGAAAGTCATGCGTAGCTTTTTTCTAAACGCTGGTCAAACAGGGATAGACTTTGAACTTGGACAGATCCCAAGGACCCATGCAAATTCTTTCCACTGCCTGGGAGCGGCTCATGTGGCCTCCTCCACACCCACCTCCAACCCACAGAGGCTCACAAATGGGAGGTTTAGGGCTTGCATATCAAGCCTCTTGGCACTCGCATGGCTTGGAATGACTAATACAAAAAACAAGTCAGGATTGAAGGAAAATTGAAACACGCTTAAGGCTCATTCCATGGTGAACACATTCGAAATCTTATTAGAAGTCTAATAATGCCAAGCTGCTCACGACGGAGCAAGACAAGGAAGGGTCTGGAGCAGTGTTCCCTCTAAGCTGAGTTAGTGTGAGCTAGCTCACAGTTTTTTAGCCTCCGGCTCACACATTTTTGTCTTTGATCGGTAAGGATGGCTCCAGAGCAAACTAACTTATGCAGCAGCCAAATCGCTCACTCACAACTTTAATGCCAGTAGCTCACAAAGTAGAATTTTTGCTCACAAGACTCCGCAGCTTAGAGGGAGCATCGGTCTGGAGAGACGCAAAACTTAAGGGGAAGAGCAGGTGGAGCATAAGACACTAAGCAGAGAACAAATTTATTTAATGCATTTATAGTCTGCCTTTCTCCTGCATGGGGACCCAAAGCAGCTTACATCATTCTCCTAGAACATCAGAGAAGCTAATGCTGGATCAGGCCAATGGCCCCTCCAGTCCAACACTCTGTCACACAGTGGCCAGAAATACCAGAGGCCACCAGGAGGTCCAGGACCCTAGAAGCCCTCCCACTGTTGCTCCCCCCCCCCCAAGCACCAAGAAGACAGAGCATCCCTTGCCGCAGACTGAGAGTTCCTATCGATTCCTTGTGGCTAAGAGTCACTGATGGACCTCTGCTCCATATGCTTATCTAATTCCCTCTTGAAGCCGTCCATGCTTGTAGCTGCCACCACCTCCTGTGGCAGTGAATTCCATGTATCAATCACTCTCTGGGTGAAGTAGTATTTCCTTTTATCCATTCTAACCAGACCACTCAGCAATTTCATGGAGGGCCCACGAGTTCCTGTATTGTGAGAAAGGGAGAAAAGTCCTTTTTTCTCTACCTGCTCTACCCCAGGCATAATCTTGTAAATCTCGATCATGTCACCTCTCAGTCATCGTTTCTCCAAGCTACCCTCACAATAGCCCTGTGAGGCATGTGAAGCTGAGGTGGTGCGATTGGCCCAAGGTTTCCCAGTGAGCTTTCATGGCACTAGTGGTGATTTGAACTTGTGTCTCCGAGATGCTATTCCAACACTCCTAACTGCTACACCACATTGGCTTGTCAACAGGATCAAACAGAGAATGCATGAGGGTGAGAACAAGAGAACAAGGTAGAGAACCGAAAGCCTCGGTTCAAAGCATTAACATTTAACTTTATACCTGCATGGCAGATTGTACCTTCCCTCCTACAGGTTGGACTGCAGAATCAAAAAGAAAGAAGCAGCCAGGCAATCAAGCCACAGAGATTACATTCAGAGTGAACGAATGGCTCTTAATGCTTCAGCATGCAATTTTATCTCCAAGCCTCTAATTCAAATTTGGAGAAAGTTACTTCGGTTAAAGAAGAAATCACTCCTCAGTGAAGCTAGAGCAGTGCTTGCATCACATCTTGAAGTTAGGGCAGCAGCGAGTCCCACGCTGCAATTCACTGCAGAGTGCAAAGGAATACGCACTGGAATCAGCTCTTTAATGTGAATTTCCTTTTCAGCCACAGTGCAAATGAACTCCACAGGCCATTCCCTTCCAAACCCACACCAATCTTAAGAGGAAATACTCTGATCCACGTATAAACACAAGGCACCTCAAGAGCTGTACCCGATCTGACGGTTATGACTCAAGAACAAAAATGGAAAAGAATGCACTGTATTGTATAAAGAAATCAGTCTGCTAATATTTTCCGCCACTCCTCAAAACTATGACTACAGTAGTAGTCCCTCAAGTATAAACTCAAATACAGTTTCAAAGCAACTGACAGACACCAAAGCAAAGTCTTATTGTTAAAGGCAACTAACAAGTATAAACAAATCAATCATGAGAAAATGCTTAATATAAATTCATAGCATAAAGCCGCAAGCGCTGTCCTCAAGTTCACCTTGAGAAGTTCTTTCAAAGGTCACAGAGCCCACAAAGCACCTACACTCTGACGGGTTTTCCCTTGATGCTCCCGTGACATCTCACACAGCACTGCACTACAGACCTGCAGCATGCCCCATGAGCTACAGTAAACTGGGCGTGGGAAGCACAATTTGACATTTGAAACCCTTCTCAATGTCACTTCGCTTTTCACCTGACAAGGACATAAGGTGCACTCAAGGCAAGGAAGTGCCTGCTCCTTCCAGATATGAAGGCCCATGACATTATTTCAGTTTTGCCTAAAGAAAAATTAGGAAAACTCAGGGGGACACTGAGGAGAAGAAAAAACTCCCGCGAAACTTCCTCTCTTCCAGAATAAAATGCTTTTTCGGACAAGGTTTTTACAAACTCAAAAGGTACAGCAAGGCAGTTCTTTTGTAAGACAATAAACAGCATTAGATAATGATAATCCCTATGTTTAATGTAGACATATGCAACGTATTTTCACAGATATGCTGTACTGTTTACGTATGATCAGTTTTGGCAACATTGTGTCTCAAAACAGGTTACTAAGAGTTCAGTATTTCAAATGTTCACAAGTTTGATAACCAAACTTGCTGGTAGTCATAGTGACTTTCTGTCCAAAAAAATACACTTTGTTTACTACAAAATATATTTTCTAATCCTAACATTAGATGCATGTGCTAAGGTACCATAAGGTATAGTACCTTACAGCTCTCAATCAAGAATTGAGCATATTTGCAATTCTGCTTGTCGAAAACTAAAGCAACTTAACTGCATAAATACACCAAACAGTACGCTGTTACATGCTAAGTTATCAATTCGACATTTTATGCCATTAAAGCAGTTAAAATAGGTTATGGGTTGATAGGAAAGGAAAGTAACTCTTACACATATTTCAATTTCCCCCAAGGTTTCTTTGTTTCCAAAAAACCCTAGAAAAACAGTTTACTTCCAAGGCTTCAAATTTTACACCTCTACTGCTTCCAACTCCTTGTTTGCAGGGGGGGGGGGGGGGGGGGGGACACGCTAAACAACTTTAAAAAGGAAGGATGGCACACAATACTGCTGTCTTTTTAACATGGGCACTAATGGGCCACGGAGCTGCAAGACGGCTACTAGAGACAGGCCTAGTCACTAACAACCTTAAGGACAAATTTAGAGTCCAGGGACACCTTTAAGACCAACGAAGGTCTATTCAAGGTATGAGCTTTTGTGCATGAAACCCTGAATAAACCTTCGCTGGTCTTAAAGGGGCCCCAGACTCTAAATTTGTCTTTAAGGTTGTTAGTGACTAGGCCTTCAGATCAACATGGCTGACCACCTGGACCAACCTGAAGGACACCGTGACACTGTCCTGGACTAGATCAAGCCTATGCAATATGAAGAAGAGGAGACTGGATTTATACCCTGCCCTTCACTATCCAAAGGAGACTCAGAGTGGCTTACGAACTCCTTTCCCTTCCCCACAACAGACACCCTGTGAGGTAGGCGGGGCTGAGAGAGCTCAGAGAGAACTGTCCTTGAGGGAACAGCTCCGAGAGAACTTGTGACTGACCCAAGGTCATCCAGCCAGGTGCAAGTGGAGGAGTGGGGAATCAAACCAGGTTCTCCCAGGTTAGAGTTCGCGCTCCTAACCACTACACCAAACTGGCTGGGGAAACTGAAAGGAGCCTATTTTGGCCCTAGATCAACAGGTCTCAACTGGGGCTTTCCATAAGGCTAGGAGGGCCAGCCAAGGAGTCACTCACCCAGCACATCCGCGGACCGGTGCCTGGCCACGAAGCAGGCGTCGTCCCCGTAGCACATGCCCTTCTTCAGGATGCCCTTGCGGAAGTCCTTGCCGAAGCCGCAGCTGGCCGTCACCAGGCTGTAGTCTCGGGAGTCGGTCTGCGAGAGGCTGCCCAGGACGGCCCGGGCTACCAGTCTGCCATAGGAGAGGACCGAGAACATGGCGCGGGGAGCCTGGCCGCCACCCCCGCCGGCCGCCTGCAAAGAGGGGAGCTGCGGGCCGAGGCGCCCCCGGAGCCAGCGCAGGCCGCTCTGCACCACCAGGGCCACCCCGAGCCCCAGGGCTGCCTCGGGGGGAGGGGGAGGCCCCTCCGGGAGCGGAGGAGGGGCCCGGCGGCGGCGGCGCTCGAGCTCGGCCTGTGGCGTGCCCCCCCTCCTCCGGACGGTGCAGAGGCTGACCTTGAACCTTTAAAAAATAAAATAAACCCCCCCCTCCTCGCTCGCCGCCTCCGGGGCACGGGCGCCTCCTCACCGGGCCCGCCCCATCGCTCCCCGCCAGGGGGACAAAGCGCTCCGGCTGCTTCTGCTCAGCCCCGCTTCCAGGCGCAGCGCACGCAGAGAGGCGACGGGGGCACTCGGTCCGGGTCCCCGGCCTTGCTTGTCCGAGGCCGCTCCGACGTCCGAGTCTCGCCCTCAGGAGGCGGCTGCTACTGCTGCTGCTGCGGCTCGATCCTTTTCCGTTCGCGGCCAGGAACAAAAGGGCCTCGGGACGGGCGCGGGGTCGCCCTGCCGCCGGTCTCTGCCCCGGCTGCCCTCAGGCAGGGGTCACGCCCCCAGGGGCTCGCTCCCCCGCCGGCCCCGCCCCCTCTGCGCCGGCCCCGCCCACCGGCGAGGCGCCCTTCCTCCCGCCGCCTCCTCCTCAGCGCGAGTCTCTCCTCAGGCGCCCGCGCGCGGCCTGGGCTCCGTCACGGCCGGGCTCCGCCGCCGCCATCTTCGCATCGCTCCGGGCCCCTCACGTCGGTCTTCGGCGGCAACGGTTCCCTCCCGGGAGAACAGAGACACCGCGCGCGCGAGCGGGCTCGTGAGGCAGGGTCAGCGCCGCCTCGCCGCCGGTTGCCAGACAAGCCTCCCTTGTCCGTCCTCCTCACATCCGGGCCTCCGACGACGACGACGGCACAAGGGGGCGCTTCTGGACGCCGATTGGCTGCCCGCCTGCGGGCGCTCCCCTCATTTGCATAACGTCGCTTCCTTTAAAAAAGGGGGGGGTGGCGGACCGGCCTGCTTGCGGGCGTTCTAGTGGAGCACGCGAACAGCTTCGACTGCGGCTCCCGGCATGCAACGGGGCCGAGCGGGGTTCCCCCCCCCTTAAGGCGGTGGGAAGGGAAGGGCATCCTGGGAGTTGTAGTGCTGTGTCCGTGAAGACCATGCGGCTTCTCCGGGTCACCTTGCCGTAGAAAGTAGAAAAGGCTAATGAAGAAGATCCGCAGCCGACGGCTCTGTAGTTGCCGTATGGGAAGCGCCTTTTCGAGGTTCTGCATTTTTCCCAATGGGAAGGCGACGTCTCCCCTGTAACACCAATAGGTAAACGTGGCTGTGACCCTTATTTCAAGGTCACCAAGAGCCTTGGATGAGTCACAGCCTCCACACCCCCTCCAGAGGGATTTCTTCCAATTTAGTTCGCTGCCGCTTCCCAATTGCAGCTCCTTTCTGGGATCCTCCCTCAGCCACCTTCCGGAATTTCCACGTTAGAAACCTAGACGCTGAGGAAAACTTAATAGATCTATTTGCATCTACAAGAGACTTTAACATGCATTTGCAACACTTGCCTAAAAGAGCCTGAGCTTAAAATGCAAGAACACTCATCCCAGAATTCAGTGGAAGAGCCTATGTTGTTGCATGCAGGAGGCCCCAGGTCAAGATTGCTAAGGGACCTGGAGAAAAGTGTCCAGTCCCTTTAATACAGTATTAAGGTGATATTATTGACCACCCTGCAATGAAACACTTCCGGGGATCCAATTTCATACATTATGCCTCTATTAAAGGTACAGGACAATTTTCTCCAGATTTCTAGGCAAACCTATCCCACGTTCGATTTCTGATCAGAAAAAAAGGAAAAGAACGCCTCTTTCCTGAGACCTTGGAGAGCAGCGGCCAATTAAGATGATACTGCGATGCACAGATCGATGCTGAGTGTAATGCAGCTTTGTACAGGAAGGAACACAATTCAGTCCATAGCCGGAGCTGTAAAGGCAGCAAGATAGGAATGTCAGTGGACGCAACTACGTGCTTCAGCTAAGCTTTGGTTTTGCTGTGGCTTAAAACTGATGGGTCTTGCCAAAGGCTTCACCCAAAATGTGTCAGATTTTTAAAAGCCTTTGATTGCTTTATGAGGATTTCATCTATCACCTTGGCCGGCAGTTCCCGGCTCCTAATTCCATAGGCAGGGCTGCACGCCCTCTGCCTAGAAATGATATAAAGACCAGCCTACTGGGATGGGAAAGGTCACTGCCCCCTTGGTCTATGGATTTCCAGCTTGTCTAATTTTTGTCTTAGTGGGGGGTTTTTAGGAGGTGTTCTTCCTGCAGAGCTTTTTTTCCCCCCAATTACTGAAATGCAATGTTGAAGTCTGAGTGATAACAGGAAAGGACTGTGAGAGCTACTCTGAAGTTTGTAACAAGAGATAGTAGTAATGGATTCCTTGCTACATTGCTTACATTCTTGGTATACATTGACTTTATAATTTATAAGCCGCTTTCAGCCCTGAGTGTCAGGAGAAAAGCAGCATATAAAAAATTCCAAATAAATAAATAATTGATGGGCAAGTATGACTGGTCAGTAATTGGATGGTGTTCCCTTTAAGCTGAGTTAGCGTGAGCTAGCTCACAGTTTTTTAGTCTCCAGCTCACAAATTTTTGTCTTAGCTCAGAAAGGATGGCTCCATGGCTCCAGAGCAAAGTAATTTATGCAGGAGCCAAATCGCTCGCTCTTTAATGCCGGTAGCTCACAAAAGTAGAATTTTTGCTCACAGCTTAAGAGGGAGCATTGGAGACCACCAAAGGATACCAGCGTCACTACAGAGAGGTAGGTAATGGCAAAACACCTCTGAATGTCTCTTGCAACCCGCCCCCCAAAACCTAGCAATTCAGTCAGGAGGCCTGTATAGGGAAAATGTTTCTGTGCAGGCTTCCTTCAGATACTGATTGGCAGAAGAAGCTTTGAGAACAGTACACAGCTTTGAAGGGCAAGTATTTCCACAGAGTATTATGATAACCTTGTCTGATTTCAGTTCCTTGATTTTTTTCATGAAAACTACATAAGAACATGAGAAAAGCCAAGGTTGGATCAGGCCAATGGCCCATCCAGTCCAACACTCTGTGTCACACAGTGGCCAAAAACACCAGGGGCCATCTGGAGGTCCAGCAGTGGGGCCAGAACACTAGAAGCCCTCCCACACTTGCCCCCCCCAAGCACCAAGAATACAGACTATCACTTGCCCCAGCCTGTGAGTTCCTATCTATACCTAGTGGCTAATAGCCACTGATGGACCTCTGCTCCAGATGCTTATCTAATTCCCTCTTTGAGCCGTCCATGTTTGTAGCCGCCGCCACCTCCTGTGGCAGTGAATTCCATGTGTTAATCACTCTTTGGGTGAAGATGGACTTCCTTTTCTGTTCTAACCCGAGCGCTCAGCAATTTCATGGAGTGCCCACGGGTTCTTGCATTGTGAGAAAGGGAGAAAAGTACTTCTTTCTCGACCTGCTCTATCCCATGCATAATCCTATAAACTGTTGGCAGTGAAGCAGACAGATGTAACTTTGTATGCAGAGTAACAGTGACAGATGAATTAACATTCAAGGGACATTTCATTTTGTAAACTTATCTGTGCCTTTTCCACCTTTGGTGGGGGGTTTTGGTTTTCAAGGTTTTATTTAATTAAAACAATACAAACATGCATACTGAAAAATATGTTACATTGTGTTTTCAATCAATTTCAACTCAGTATCTGTGTATTGCACATAACTAGCCTTGTACTCAGTCTAATCTACTTTTCACCTCCAAAACTTATATAGTAAGAGCTCAGCCTAACACACCTGTAAATCACACCTTTTCCACCTTTGTTATGTAAATACATAATCTGCATTGGCTAGAATGCAGTTGGAAAAGTATTCTCTTTCTGTTCTCTATGAGGTTATGTAAATTTCGGCCAGAGTAGGTTTCAACCACATCTGGGCTGTGATTTTACTCTTCTAGGTGTGGACGTCTGCCTTTGCATGCCAAAGTACAAGAGGCCCCGTGCAAATGGCAAAGCCAAGGACAGGGAGCATTTGCAGGCAGGATTGGAATCCGGTCCTGACTGTTTCTGATTAGAAGCTTCACTGGCCCAGTTCTCTCTTATCTCCCATCTCAACATTCCTCAGCAAGGGTGACTCTTTGCTCTGGTATTCCTCTGTGCTTGTCCTTTTTCTGAACGCCTCCTTTCTCCTTATCTGTATTTGATAGCTTGAGCATTGACTGAACATGTGTGTGATTTCTGGCCTGTCTGAACGTCTGTGATGCGCTTACATCTGTGGTTTCATAGCGCCAAATCTCCCTCTGAAAAGCTCTGCTAAGCTTACAGATTCTTTGGTTGCTTCCATCTGCAGTGTGCAACCACAAATGTTGGGTATCCATCTGGATTGGATTCAGTCTTGGGAAATTATCCTGTACTTTGAGATCTGCTCCAAAGTTCCTGTTGTGTGTGCCTGTTTTTTTAATGAAGTGGCCATGAGGGACGGCGCCTTTTCTGTGGTGTCCTCACTTGTGGAAACCATCTGTCCTACCAGTAGGGTTACCAACCTCCAGGTGGGAGCCAAAAATGAGAGATCACGGGAGGAAGTGGAATTCCAGAAACAACGTCCGTGACAAAAACAACGAAGAGTCAATAAAGATAAGTTGCAAAAACGTTTACTGTAGTAATTCTGTAGAAAATTTTCTTCTATTATCGCTCACATGCTAACGAATACTGCGCAATGAAAACAATTCGTTTCACAATATTTGTAGCAATCCTAATTCTTATCAATCACTACTTATCAACTCTTGAAGGAAACATTCCCTGTTGCCTCTCTTCACCTTGGGTTCTGTCATTAGGGAGTCAACGGAATGCTTCCTTCAAGAGTTAATAAGTAGTAATTGATAAGAATTGGGATTGCTTACACGCTCAGATAAAGCAAATATTGTGAAATGGATTGTTTTCATTGCGCAGCATTCGTTAGCGTGTGAGCGATAATAGAAGAAAATTTTCTACAGAATTACTACAGTAAACGTTTTTGCAACTTATCTTTATTGAACCTCCAGCTGGGGCCTGGAAGTCTCCTGGAATTAGAACTCATCTAATAGAGATCAGTTCTGTTGGAGAAAATGGCTGCTTTGGAGGGTGGACTCTATAGGATTATACTGAGGTCCCGCCCTTCCTCAAACCCCACCCACTCCAGGCTCCACCCCCCAAATCTCCAAGTATTTCCCAAGTTTCCCAAGTTTCAGACACCAAGGGAAAATGTTCTTATTCTCCCAGATTAGTACGGAATAGTTTGTGACGTGTCTGTAGCTGGATTTGATTCTTCCCTTAAACTGTCTGGGTCTGATCGATGCTGTACTGTACAATAGACTGCCGGTATAAATCATGTGCTTTTTATCTGCTACTGAAGTTAAACTTTTATGTTTTAACGGCTGCATTTTATGGCTTGAATGGCTATCTGCTGTTGTGAGTTTTATTGATTATGACACGTTTCTTGACTGGTTTTTATGGCTGTGCACTGTCTCAAGAGCCTTGTGGCTATGAGGAAGGATATAGGGTTGCAAT